CCGGCCCCGCGGGGCGGCGGGGTGTTGGCGGCAGAGAACGGTTTTGGGTGGGGGGGGGGGTCCCCTTCGCGCTGGCGGGCCAGCGAGGGAGGGGGACGCGGGGGGACGTCGGTGAGGTTCTGCCATTAAAGCTCAACGCTCGTCAGTGCGGCGCGGTCCCTGCGGGCAGGGGTGCGGGCAGGGGTGCGGGCAGGGGTGCGGGCAGGGGATCCTGCCACAGCCCCGCTGCGGCCGGGCAGCCCCCAGGAACGAGCCCCCTCCTGCCCTTGGGCTGGGGCACGCGGATGCGTGTCTATAGGTGCGTATGTGTGTGCTGCCTGTCTATAGGTGAGTGTGTGCTGCCTGTCTATAGGTGAGTGTGTGCTGCCTGTCTATAGGTGAGTGTGTGCTGCCTGTCTATAGGTGAGTGTGTGCTGCCTGTCTATAGGTGAGTGTGTGCTGCCTGTCTATAGGTGAGTGTGTGCTGCCTGTCTATAGGTGAGTGTGTGCTGCCTGTCTATAGGTGAGTGTGTGCTGCCTGTCTATAGGTGAGTGTGTGCTGCCTGTCTATAGGTGAGTGTGTGCTGCCTGTCTATAGGTGAGTGTGTGCTGCCTGTCTATAGGTGAGTGTGTGCTGCCTGTCTATAGGTGAGTGTGTGCTGCCTGTCTATAGGTGAGTGTGTGCTGCCTGTCTATAGGTGAGTGTGTGCTGCCTGTCTATAGGTGAGTGTGTGCTGCCTGTCTATAGGTGAGTGTGTGCTGCCTGTCTATAGGTGAGTGTGTGCTGCCTGTCTATAGGTGAGTGTGTGCTGCCTGTCTATAGGTGAGTGTGTGCTGCCAGTCTGTAGCTATGTAGGTGTGTGTGCTGCCTGTCTATAGGTGTGTCGGTGTCAGCGCTGCCTGTCTATAGGTGTGTGTGCTGCGTGTCTATAGGTGTATCAGTGTGTGTGCTGCACATATATAGGTGTGTGTGTGCTGTGTCTACAGGTGCGCATGTGTGCTGCACGTATATAGGTGTGTAGGTGTGTGTGCTGCCTGTCTCTAAGTGTGTAGGTGTGTGTGCCGTGTGTCTGTAGGTGTGCATGTGCTGCCTGTCTATAGGTGTGCATGTGCGTGCTGTGGGTCTATAGGTGTGCGTGCTGCACGTATATAGGTGTGTGCGTGCTGCCTGTCCATAGGTGTGCGTGTGCGTGCTGCCCGTCTATAGGTGGGCTGCGCACACGCACCTGCGTTCACCTGTCTGCACGCACATACATGCACGCGCACACGCCTGCCCCGACGCGGGCCCCCGCGCGCAGGTCCCGCACGCGCGGCCG